ATGAATTGGACTCATCACTACTGCAATATTCAGCTAATGCTGACTTTTCTGTAGGCATTTAGGCAAACAATAGCCAGTGAAGTGAAATTAGAAATGTACTCAGAAATGTATTGTGGAACAAATATAAGACGGGATGGAGTAAGAGTCAATTATTTTTCGATATGTTTGGTCAATGAAAACATAAAAAATGAAAAGAATTTATTCAAAGGTACATATATGTGGTCAAAAGAATTACAGGTTTTGAAAGTGACTATGAGACAATATGAATACTACAGAAAATAAACCAACGAATGACAAAGGCTAGACATGAGTTCAAAGGTGAAAATAACAACAGTAATTATGGTTAGGTAGGATCAACGATAATGTTGTGTAAACTACTGGTGCGTCTGTGACACAACGTTAGAAGGCTTACCGACCACGCAGGTGGTTCGGGTTTCGATCCCCAACCAACGCACTCCCCTACCTCGCCAAGCCAACAATTCGACTGGTAAAGAGGGAAGGTTGGGCACGAGGCTAGCAACCCTATCCCGTAAAAATAAACACCGGTGCTACAGGAACTTCAAGCCTCTAGCTTGAAGTCCAATGTTCCAATAGGAACGTGAAGAGATTAAAAAACTAATTGTGGAAGATTGTCAGATAACAAGTAGGAATCAATTTAGTGCAGTGAAATGAATGGAAATAAGGTTATTTGATAACAAGTTAGGAAACCATTAGTCGCACCTACGGTGACAGAAGTCATGAAGTTCACGAAATCGTTAAAAACTACAAAGGAATGCTTATGGATGATTTAATAATTCCCATTGTGTCATTAAGAACACAACAATCAGCGAAGAGACTCTTTTTAACGGATTTATTCTCAAGCTGTACAATAGTGAATATATAGTTGTATAATGAAATTATATCAGGTGAGTGAATTAGGTCAAAAGTGTGAATACATGAAATGACAATAATAGTATGAAATGCAATTGAAATATTTGCGATTATAACCATAGTTTAATATCATGTGACAAAATACTTAATTCCATATATAGAATAATACATGAGGTGTATAGATTTTGCAAAGGTATACATAATTATAAGATTAGTAGACGAATATAAAATGTTACATAGCATGGTGTGAAATTTAATACGAGAGAATTCAATATTGAAAAATTAAAAGTATACAGATTAATGATTTTGGGTTTAAAATGTCAAGTGAGTCAAGTGGAAAAGATTCAGAGTGAGAATAGTAATAATAATAATGAAAATAATAATAAAAATAATCGAAGTGATAAGGGAAAAGTACATTGAATAACTAAATTAACAAAATAAATAGTTGTCTATCCCTCTACGGCCAAGGCAGCAGTAGGGCTTGTACATACTTTTTTGTACACAAAGGTCTGGCTTAAAGTCATGAATTCCCAAGGCCTAAGCTGTTTTTCGAAGTCTGTACGAAGAAAACGCGGGAAGTTAGCATGAACTCAATATATGATCTTGAAATCCTGGTCAGGGTTGACCGAGTGACAGAAGTCGATCAGGTGTTCCAGAATAGAGCTTCACACACACTTCCTTTCTCCCTTGTAAAACCGAATTGGATTATGCTCTCGTACTCCTGTGGAGAGCGTTTTCTGACTACAGCCAATGTACCTTGCTTCACAAGAGCAGGTGAACTGGTAGATGCACATTGAGGCGGTCAGACGGGGGAGCTTATCTTTTACATAGGTACAGAACAATTTGCGGCTCATGAACGTCATGTGTAATTTTCACTGACTGATTTAGAGAGACGATTTTTGAGCATATCTGATGCTTGATCACCTTTGTATTCCATGTTTATGAATAAGGTTTACTTAGGAACTGAGTCGGTGACCAGTTTAGACTGCTTATTTTTCATGTTGCTGTCAATAAATCGGTTAGAGTAACAGTTTTCTGTGAGTGTGGCTTTTAGGAAGTCAAGTTCTGAGTCAACGCGCTTAGGCGTAACCGTATTTGTCCTGATTCCAAAGCCTTAAAGTGCCACAAACTTAATCATATTTATGCAATCAGTTCTCGTGTGGTAGAGTTGAACAGGAGCATATCCGTGACATGTCACGTTCTGAACTTATTGAAGTGATAACATTCAGTTTGCCAGCATTTTATAATACTTCTTAGATGGTCAATTTCACAAATATATTGACACGATTGAACTTTTCATACATTTCAGCTCCCATCACCTAGATTCTCAAAGACCGTATAAGCAATTAACTTGAAGAGAAAGATTACCAATATTTGAGGCGATTTACACTGCACCTCGACAGGTGAGTAACGGTAGGTTTATGACGAAGAAAAGATGCGTTGGTCATATCTTCAGTACACTAGCAGCAGAAAAATAATCTAACATACAAGGAGAATTTATAATCGGTGTCAACGAGATACTGAGAGGTCGCTGCAGATGAGTTTGGTTCAAACGATTCAGCAGAATACCCCAGTCAAATAGGGAGTAATTGGGTTGAAACTTAATGAACGACTGATGTTTATCTAAGCTGTTTTTTGACTGGTAACCATGACGAGCATTGAAAAAGTTTTACAAATTTAAGTAATAATCACACATAATAGCAATTATGAATGAAGGCATCAGTTCGCGTCCATTGTGAGAATTCAGAATAAACTTTAATATTGAGAAACATGTAATAGACAAACCTTGAATCAATTTACTAATCGGGATGTGTTTAAATAGATTCCACCGACTCAAATTCAGGGAATTCTGCAGTTATGATTATGAAAATTGGTTCCTATATGATACATGAGATAAGGAGCAGAAAGGGTGTAAGGAATTATTTCACGTATAAAGGCCATTCGATTCTGATTGCAGAAGCCAATGTTAATTTGTGGAAATAGCCATCTGACATGTGATGAATCACTTAGATGTGAATATGAGTTTTAGTGTCAGCTAAACACAGGTTAACTAAGGGTAGTCCTTACTGATTATCTCTTCAGAGAAAAAACAAGCGAAGTTACCAACAGAAGTTTTCACATACAAATATTATCATTTGCATAAAACCAGATGAATGATATATTCAGTAGTTAATTGGCGGATGCTGACCAGCAGTGGAATCCAGAATGTGCGTTTCCCCTATTTAGGACTCGCCAGCAAAGTGTTTCTGCACTCCGCAATTAGTGAAGTTATTCCCATCAAGGCACGAACTCAGTGGCCATAGTCAAAAAACCGTAGTGTTATTCAGTCGTCCACTTAGACAATGAGAGCCATCTCTTGTGCAACTGGTCAATGGAATTATTTAATTCAATTTGCAACTATCCCTCCGTTTTAATTAAAGGATATACTTAGTGTTGAAAAGTATTTATCACTCATAATAATTATACGGATTTGCGAAAATAAATAGACACTGGACAAACGGAAAGAGTAGAAAGCTTGCTTTTTAACAACGTCAGGCTTACGTTGACACCATCCAATTTGAATAGGAATTGAAGAGTCAAATCCATTAAAGAAGAGGCTTCTCAAATAATGCAAATGCAGCCAACATCAGAAATGTATATGTTAATCTAGTTGAAAACATATCTCTTCCAATCAACCGCTCTTGACGGCAAGTGGAGCCAATGACACTTTATTCACTTTTCATGCGTAATTTCACCAGGAAGAAAATTAAATCTTAAATTCCAACAAAGGTTCGCTCCGTTCGGTAGATAATTAATTATTCTGCTAATAGGCAAGACCTCTATTCCGAATGACCACCATCTTTTACCAGTTTCAGCTTATCCAGCCTAATAGCATACTGATGTCGGAAGCAACACACTTGATCGCTTAAATACGTTTTCCCTCACAATCATCACCAACGCAGAATTCTGGGTGTGCAAATATGAATTTCTAAGAAGTTATCCCTCATCTTTCCAATCATTCAGAAATATAAAATACATCATGAGCATACAACCTAATTTCTTGTGCGATTTGATAAGCATCAAAAGTTAAGGAAATTGAAATTACAAACTATTAATAATAACGGGAGTATCGTTTTTTGACCACAGCTTTGCAAATCACAGTATTTGTAATTAGGACGATTTAGAATAAAAACATTTTATGAGCTTTGACTTTGAACAAATTATGCCAAATTACTTTTCTTAACCTGTTCAGTTTATTTTGTATCAAGCTGGAAATAGTGAACAAAGAAATCGTTCATTGCTCCAAAAACGTTTCGAGTTTCAAAGTTGTGAACTTTAGTCAGCAAATAAATATTGTTTTGAACATCATTGTTATTGTTATTATATAACATCGAATTAATAACGCTGATAAAATCTTATTCATGTATATGGTTTAATGGTCGTTAGATCATGGTTCAATCTATATGATATGCATAGATTGATCGAACTCACCGCCATAAATTGAAGACAACAATTATTGGCGATAGTGAATACATTCTACCGACTGAAGCTTACTATGAATTTCAGTCACTGAGTTTCAAAATTCACTGAGAGGAACATTTTCTCTGCGCTTTTCCATATTCAGGTGAATGTAGGTTTGTATAGACAAAGATGTATTAAAGTATTTGAATAAAGCGCCAAACATCGATTGTTGTCAACAGGTTGGCTTCTTTTTTTAATAAGTTTCTTATCAGATGCGTATAGCCAACTTGAACGTAACAAAAATTTATCAATCTCACTTTTGTTCATCACCTTGTCAACTTCTGGTCTTTATCACGCGAATTTCGTCTTTGTATGTGGACATGGGTCTTCTGTGTAAACGTTTTGTGTGTGTTTTCTCAACACTGTCTACTAATTTCGGAGTTCCGTGCTACCTGAATCATGATTCTTTTCCAAGCATGTTAAAATATCTCTGTACACCAATGTGCTAATCTTCAAGAAGATTATAAGTAGCAGAGAAAGTAAACTACTGGGGAGCATTATTCTGCACAAATTATTGCCTTTGCCACCTAAAGTGGACTAACCAAATATTCAAAGACAGGAATTCTTTTTCTTCCAAGACTAAGAAGTCAGCGAAATTACAATGACAAAATAAATGGTCTATACGGTATGCATGTATTTAGGATAAAATTCACAAACAGAATACGTAACGTATTACAGTATCTAGGACCTAACACATATTGAGTGGCATGAAAGAGTAGGAGTTATGGTCGGAAATCTCTGTTTTGTACAAATTTCATACCTTTCCAGCTAATAATGATGGCTTTTGTTGACCAAAGAAAGCACATGTGTCTAAGAGGTTTACATGATACATTCATCATTTCATTTATGGTATTACTGAAACAATATTGAACTGATAATGTCTTTTATTAGAATCTTCGTTTATCTTTGTTAGTTATTGTTATGTGGCACAAAATATTAAATTTACACAATAATGGATAACGTTTCTTGCTTCAGAGGAGCAAGAGGTAGTTTAATCTGATAATACATCTTCCAGATCTGGTATGACAACCTCAATTATCTGCAATAGATGACGTGGCCTTGTTGACTAGTACTTCAACGAGGAAATCCAGCCTAAATTAGAATCGTCAAAGGAATATTAGATTATTACTTAATAACTAATAGGAATAGTTTCTCTGCATTAGATTCTCATGAAGTGGACAACTCATTCACACAAATATCTGCCTAGCGCACAGCTGCCATTCACCTATTTGATGACTTTACTAAGTTTCTTTGTGATCACGATATGAAATGCTTATATTGTTCAGTCATTCCGACTATTATTTGCTAGATCATTATTAAGTTGCAGATGATGAGAATGTCTTAAATTTTACTGCAAAAAATGGTGATTTTGTTAGTGTAATGGTAACAAAATATAAGTTCTATGAAAGAATTCTCAATTAATAACTTTCGCAATAATTAATATGAGCTTCCTTGTAATGCAAAGCGGAATACGTTCAAAAATCCACTGCTCACCTAATGCATCAGTAACAACACCGTGCAGCCACTGGGAAGTAATACAATGCCCTTGAATTTGAGATATTTGAATTCAAAGCTATAACATTGTTTCAAACGACTGAACGTAGACGAGCCCGCCTTCTAAAGTGAAGTCGTTGCTTTCAAATCCTAGTAGGCCGACTAGTGTGTCCTGGTGAATAGTTCTGAACTAAATGTGAACAACCCTTCAGTGCTGCATGATTTCCAGTGGTTCTCTAACTGATACTGATCTGTGATCAAACTTAAAACTAATCAATCCCTTCAAACTGACACTTACATTCGAAATCATCGTCACAGTGCATAGTTTCTCAAATGCAACAAATTACTACTTTAAAAGGCCATAGACACTGTGAATACTACGACTTTTCAAGTAAAATGGATGAAATGTAAAGCACAACCCACCGCTATACATCACTGCTAATCATATTCATAATAGAACTCTTAATGTCACTTCGTATTTTGTTTTTCAACCGAGCTAGAACATGTTTTCCAGTTATCTCAATACTGTTACGAAGATATTTTATTGACCACTAACTGCGTACTTTGTACTATTACAGGTAAATGAGCAGTGGATTTTCGTTGATTACATGGCAAAAATGCTGAAGAACGGACTAAAGCGTGAATAGCGATGAAATATACAGTGAGAAAGGAAAACACTCTGACAGGCTTACAGAACTGGTCTAAATAAAACCTGTTAAACAATCAACATGCTCCATAACAAATAAACAAGATGATACTGTTATCTGAAATTCGCATTTGAAAGTAGAGAGAATAAGTTTCTAAAGTCCTAAAAATGTGTTCATCTTCTATCATAATATTTCGAAAATCCGGACCAGACAAACTAAATACGTTGAGGAGTAGCGGCATTTTCGTTGTTTTTACCGCACACTTATCTTCATTAATCAATTTCTTCGTCTTCCGGTAAATGATGATCGCATACCTGTGCCTTCTTCACTAAAATTTCCTGAAAAGACTGCATATTTTGCACTTTTGTTATCATGGAATATTAAACTACTAACAGATTTCTATAATTTGGAGATCACCAAGGCTTCTGGATTTCCGTATGATAATAACTGTTTTCATGTTTTCCCACACATTCGGTTTCCTTGAGGTCGCCTTTAGGTTTTGAGTGATTTAAATAGATTTTTCATCATTCTTTAGGACGTGGGATGGCCTGTGGACGTAGTTGTGCGCCAGAACAGTCCGGTAGCATATAACAAATACAGGATTGTGTAGAATTTACTATGAACCTCTTACATTTTCTCTACAAGTCCAGCCGTTTTTCCGATAAACGATTTCGAAAGATCCGAATCCATATTCTGTACTCAAATGCACACCATGATATCAATCTGAGTGCAGTCATATTCTTGATGTGAATTTCAGCATGCCAACAGATCCCTTATGTTGTCGACTTCAACCCATCATCCATTAGTAATTGTGATTCTGATAAACCTTTTCAACAGTCAAGCATATATCTCTCTCTGATTAGTTTCCAGAAGTATTCGTGATTTCTTTGATTTCATTCCCGTTGAGACAACAGTATTTTCGCAATAGAATTTTAACAACGTAGTGTTATGCACAACATGTTTAAATCTGTTTTTTCTATATGATACTTCTCCTTGATCTTTCAGTTTGTACATATATTTTAGTGGCCAGTTTATTGATTAACGCGCCTCTCTTATTCCCAGTGAAATAAAAAGAAGCTGTGATGCCGAGCTGTGGTCTCTTTGGGTTCCGGATACTATGCCTAAGACGTGAAGTTTAATTTATGAGGCCCACCGTCAAAGGTTATTGTGAGTTGTTTGTGGTTACACGTCTGTGCTGCAAAAAGCAAGTCTTCATCATTAGACGGTGAATGAACTGCAGGCAGGTTTCACTATGTTGGGGACTGTTTCTGCTCCGATTAAATTCCCAAAAGCTTTCTGGCACAAAACCAACGGGACGCCAGCCCAAGATATCAGTTAATGGTCACAATTATCTCAGTTTAAACACTTCAACACATGAATGACTGTAAAAACTCATATACGCGTATAACAGAGAATCCATGGATATAAGAAGATCAGTTGTATATTTCAGAGCTATTTAACAATAGGTTATGTAACAATTTAACTTGTATTCTGATGTTCAGAAGTATAACTAATTTAAGCGGTAGTGAATAAATTGCTGAGAATGTAAGTGTGATAAAAATCCACAGGAAAAATGCTTGGTTGACTGCAGAACAGACTGGCAAATCAATAAATGTCAAGCACCGTCGCAGTCCATTTGCCATTATGAACATTATGTCCATTATGAACAAACCCTGTAGTTATAAGAATACGATTTTCGAATGAACCTGTTATTTGGCAAGATGGTGTGCCTGTGAGTGATATGAAACAAAAATCTCGTTACTGCTACAAATTTCATCAAAGATCCTCCCAGGAATTGTGCATCTTCAGGTGTTGAAACACCAACATAATATGTTTAGACAAAAATATGATTCATCTCATTTGTGTTAGTAGAATTTATTGTACACAAAGGGAGAAATATTTGCAATTCATATGAAATATATTTGCGTATATGTGACGTATTACATTATAGAAACTCCAAATAAATGTGTATATTCCTCTGGCCAAGACAACGGTAGCCCAGATCTTATAACAACGACCGCCTTCAATATACAAAAGGAGATCTGTTACAGGCTAAATCGTGAGCTGACATTAGTCAGAGTACCACTGGAAAAGGAAGAAATACTGAACCTTTGTGAAACCCTGGTTTGACGCTTTTCAGCATTAAGTGGCCTCCAGCCATTGGGTTGAGTCTCAGTGGCTGAATGTTCTAAGGACTCGCCTTGCCACTGGAGGTCCTGGGTTCAAATCACGATGACATTGTCGGCCATGTGAACGAAACAACTTTCCATTACTTCCTGGTTTCCCAACAGTTCTCTAACTAATGTCGTCTGGTGACCAAACCAGTGGCGAATAAAGTCCACACAAACCCACATTTAATAATAACTGTGTCTCAGTATTCTTTGCCTTTTTCATGCAGACTAACCATCATTTCTCTCTATTCACATATATACTTATCTTTTCATCAATAATGGATGAGGATGGTGAGGATGGTACATTCTCGCCAAATGAAGGGTTTCAGTGTGTTTTCACAGCAGAGTGAGCTCAATCACGTCTAGGAGGCCACTTGCTCCGCTGTCAGATCTTAATTCAACGGTCGAGATGACGCATTCAGGCACTGAATATCTGGGGAAAATCATACACCCTCTCTGTTTCTCTTTCATATTCTACGTATGACACGCTCCATATCTTTTTGATGAAAGGGGCAATATTATACAATAACGCAAATGTAAGTTGAATATAACAGACAACTTACTAACACTGCACAGGCGCCAAGGCAAATGATGCTGAAGATTTCCTGAAGGAAGTTAGAAGATGAAAAAACAGTATTCTCTCAATTCAAACTTTAGAGAAAACAGACGCTGGAAAAACACTGTTGACATTACCTACATCTAAGTAGCCTAGAACTCATAATTAGGCCATGTAAAGTAGGCGATATTCAGCGAAGAGTTACTCTGATTGAGCTGCATATTTTGAGTCACATTTCTCTGGAATAAATTTACGATATGCATGTTTTTGTCAACTTTGATTCTAAGTGCTCACAGTGTGTTACTGTGATTAAGACGCCACATTACGATGAGAAACAACCAGACGGATATGCTTAAAACAGTCCTAAGTCATGTCCAAATTTTATACAAGAAACATTCAAGCTAGAAATATGCTAATCGGTGCTAACTAAAACTTTGGTAAAGCTTCGTGAAATTATCACTGTTTGTGTGGTCATAGGCACATATTGAATACGAAATCATTATGTTTGACAGAATAATGAGGTGTATCATTTTTTGCATGGAGAATTAGAACAAGACATGCGCGTCACCATAGTTGAAAATGAAACGCTTTACTTCATTTCCTAATCACCGGACACTGTTTCAATACTCTGGAATACAAATACATGAACTCACATTGTATGGATAAGCCAAACGGTTTAACAAAAAGGAAAGAATTCCTATGAACCCAATGAAAACTATCAGCAGAGTGAACACCAACAACCCTTCGCCATTCAATCCTTTGAGAATGGCCGCTACAAATATGATGAAGACAGATAATGCCAACGTTGCATTGAAAGTTATGAAAATTATTAGGTGATTCAGCTGCTTGTAAATACAACATTGGGTTACGGAGAGCAGTAGAACCTGTAGAATGAAGTGTAGGAAAATAGACACTATCAAAACATTGATAAACATAAAAGGAAACGTAATAATTTTATATCAAATGTTTTTGTTATGCTATTTGGATATCACAGTGCCATTATTCATTCTTTCACGGATACTTTGTCGCTGACTGATATGATTAGCAGATTTTATTGAGGCAACGTTATTTATTTCGTCAATAAATCTATTTCTGGTAAATCATCACCAAGCATCTGTGACCGACTACTGGATGAAGAGGTTTCACTTGTGGTGATAAATTCTGGTAACTGGGTTGGCCTGAACGTGACTGGTTCCAGCTACACAGATATTTCCCAAGTTATCTGTATTTGCTGACAGATTCCATATATGTGGTGATTAACCAAGCGTCTCACCATGCAAAATTGAAATCCAAAGTTCAGACTTAGGTAGGCAACGGGAGTGTATTTTTGAAAGCGGATGGTCACTACTCTTTCAACAGACCTCGAAGGAATGTCATTTAGAGAAATTAATTCAATTTACTGTCTTCTTGGATTCTGGTGATTTCACTTACAAATCGCTTCACCGACAGAAGACTTCAATTCATCAAGAATTAGATTTTCTCACACGTACAATGCTTAGTGATGCTTCCCGGTCTTATTAACGAGTGAGCTCCTTATAGTATAGTAGTCCATTAAACTCAGAAAAAGTTATCAAACAACATTCCATTATATGTGGAGAGTGAGTAAGCATCCACCTGTGCATATCGTGGGTTAATCGCATAGCAAAAATATTCATTTGCACTCAAGCATTTCACTCAGACAGCAAATTACTTGGAAACAGATGACTCATAATTCAAGTCTAAGTCACATAGGATTGCGATATGTTGCATGCTGAATTTTCTGATCAACGAAATGTGATTTTGAGTAGTTGTCCTAGTCAACAATTACATCAATAATAAGTCTCATTTGTAGAGCGTTGAAAAATGTACAGAATTTTAGTGGAGTTTGTTGTGTGATTTTTCCATTTATCCAGGATCTTCAAATGAATGATTGATTGACAGTATGTCGTGTGATATTGTGCTATCTGACCTGAAGCACACACCAATAAATTGGGACATTTATTCTTTGTCTCCTTAGAGAAATACATGTCATTTGGTTGAATGTCAATCATGAAATGTACAGCAGTACAAGGAGAATTTGTCTCGTATATTGGGGTACTTTACTATTCACAAGTATGCTCACTTTAAACTGTTTCTTCAAACTGGAGAATCGGAAGGCTGTAGACACTTTGATTTTAATTACAATTGGTTATTTTTCTTATTATATTGAGTAACAACACTGGAGGTCACATTTTAATGGATGAAAATCAGGTGAGCAAAAATATCACATGCAATGTATTAACTGAACTGTTAAGTAGCTCGAGTTCTAATCTGGTGTCCTTGCTCGCTGTAATTCTAAAATATTATGTCACATTCACTAATAAATCTCATATTATCTCAATTCATGCATTGCCTACAACAATATATTACCAATGATATATCTCCTTTATGGTCAATCTCCTTTCAGTGTAGACTATATAGATCTTCATGTGAAGTCAATTTATCCCTGATAGGATATCAGGAAAGTCATGTGTTTCAAATACACATCTCAAGTTTGTGGATGTTCAATAGACTTCATGATGCATAATACCCTTGGTTATTATGTTAAATATGTGTGTGTTTTCAGTAAATGGTGTTATCTACTGGGCATGATCGTCCCATTTATCTATATGCCTCTTTCTTTCCGTTCTCCTCACAAGTAAACGTTATCAGAAATATGGGAGCACTTAGTAGTAACTCTCATAAACTATAACAATGAAACAATTACAAGCAGATCGGAGCAGTCAGCTGAATTACAGAGACATGATTTTGGACATGTGTCATATACTCACAAAAGCTGTGTAGCAGAGATTGTGAACACATAATTATTAACAGAAATCTTGATCACATTATGTTCTTAATCATTTTGACAGCAATTTATAACAATAATATAAATTACTAATTCAAACTTACGACTATTCCAATAAGTATGTGAACAGCCAAAATGCTTTGACGAATTTTCTCGAAGAACAATACAGTACAATACAAATCAACGGCAAGTAGGCTGAAATAAAATGTGAACAAAATTCATACAATTTCAGATTAAGAAAATAATGGTGCTCGAAAAAAGACCAGTCTGGAAATTGAAATCAACAGAGTGTATTCCCATCAACTAGTGTGGTGAGAGCAGGCTGCTAGCCGATTGGTTGGCACTAATCTACGTTAAGGTCTAGGTCACTAATATGGGCCGTGAGAAAATATGAACAAGCCTGAGTCAACAACCAATCACAGCAAAGTTAACGTGGCAGAATATGATTCGCAGAGAGAACTCTATTTGTCAAGGAATCCCGAAACAACCAATCAGAAGCCTGCGTTTGTCTACCTAAACAACCAATCAGATGACTGCGCTTGTCTATAATAATGTAGTTGAAAGATGTATAAATACGTGTTGATTTTCATAATAAAACGATCTGTTGCCTGGCCCTTGTCTTCTGTTGTTACATTTGGTGTCGCTGCCTACCGACAAATGGAAAGCCTATGCCCTGCTGTTTTCGATGGAGACATATGGATCTTCGGGCAGGACTTCAAGGCTTCTGCGCAGTTGAGTGGCGTTCAAGATCTGTCAGCGATGGAGCTGCTACTTGGGACGCTGCTGGGAGGTCGGGTGAAAGCAGCATATGAAAGTGTGAGCCGAAGTATGGACGAATGTTCGACAGGGTCAGGCAAACAGTTTCCAAAGTGGGAAGGACCATATATGGTCACTTCGAGATGGGGTTACGCAGACACAGTCGCAATGGCGAACAATAAGAGGCGCGTGAACGTCAGCGAGCTCCAGAAATGGATACAGCGAGACAAGCCAACGATGACGCCTACACCAAGTAGATCAAGCCGACTTCAGTCGCACGTATTTGACGGGGGGACGAGTGTGGTGAGAGCAGGCTGCTAGCCGATTGGTTGGCACTAATCTACGTTAAGGTCTAGGTCACTAATATGGGCCGTGAGAAAATATGAACAAGCCTGAGTCAACAACCAATCACAGCAAAGTTAACGTGGCAGAATATGATTCGCAGAGAGAACTCTATTTGTCAAGGAATCCCGAAACAACCAATCAGAAGCCTGCGTTTGTCTACCTAAACAACCAATCAGATGACTGCGCTTGTCTATAATAATGTAGTTGAAAGATGTATAAATACGTGTTGATTTTCATAATAAAACGATCTGTTGCCTGGCCCTTGTCTTCTGTTGTTACACTAGCAGTAAATAATAAATATTCAACACGTGACTTACGCGAGTATCATTGATAAGTACGCTTTCCCGAGCAGAAGTTTCTGCAGAAACTGTCTACAAGTTTACTCAATAAGAACAAGAATTTCAATCATACAGGCTGCCGATTACGACCATTACTGAGATCAAGATGAATAGCATAATCGAGATATCGATTGAGGTGTAAGTGTATATCTCTACAGAAGAAATACCGATTTTCTTACCCAGGCTATGTAGTCTTTAAAAGTAACTGCAGCTGCATTGAAATTGAAACATTTGGAGATTATGTCAGCCATTGAACTCGTGTAGGTGATGCTGCTCAAATTGTGTCAGCAACTTAACAAAAGCGTTTAAGGTAGGTAGCACTATAATGAAATTTGTCGTAAAAGACGGGCGAAAATTATCCAAGCAAACAATTCACCTGCTGTCAGTGGTATAAGTTAACAAAAGCTGAAATGTACAATTATACGGTAATCTGAAACATCTGAAATGACTCAGGATCATACATTGATGTAAACAGTAGAAGTATCGACATGAAGATTTCTCATTGCTAACATGTAAAGTGAACACGAATATGTTTCACTTCCCATACAATTACCGATTAAGTCTCTATTATGGCATTTATACGCATTTCTGCGTTAAATAATCCATATTTATCTGGAAACTTTGGTTATCAGAAAACATCAGTTACGACCAAATTCATAAATAACAACTCTACGGCAACTACGAACTACCACACACATGCCTACATTCTACTCACCGCAGAATTACTTCACATACCAATAATATTATTTAGGGAGATAATTTGGTGTATATGCAAGTACATTTAGACTACTTATCCTATCATTTCGCACTAACACAAACACGTCCACTAATTGACATAGTCTATTTCAAAATACTGCAGATTGATCCCGCCAAATTGAATATACTAAGAATAGATCACTGACAAGCAAATGGCGTCTTTTATCTCCTAATGTATCTCCAATTCATACCCGCCGGTTTCATCAAGAAATAAAAAAATATTTATTGATAAATCAATGATACACGTACATAACTCCGAATTTGTACTCGAAATGAATTCATTCGTTCAAATTACCATTTTATGGAGATGCAGAAAAACTTATTTTCTAGAGTGTACTTTGTTCGAGTGAATATGTATAATATAAGCATTTAAATCCGTTAACTGTCTGGAGAGCAAATAAACAGCTTAGAGAATACCTTGATGGACATTGAAAATTGAAATAAACAAAATATGAATTAAGAAGAGAGATTGTTTTAAAATAGTGATATCTTAACCAATAACCGTTATAAATTCACAATAAGTAACATACTTTGATTGGACACTAGTAACTATTATCTAGTACTTTCTCCGGTGCAGACTGAATTCTATCAGTCAGCTTTGCAATGTGGCCACCATTCTAAGTAGCTGGAGTGTCAGCCAGCACGAGAGCTAGGCGCAGAGCTTTCTGCAGATTGCCTACAACCATATGATATGATCCAATTACTGCACTATTGTTATTGGTAGTTTTTCGGTTCTTTTTCCAAGTAATATCTTATCACTGATGTAGAAATTCCAAGAGCCTTCTCTCTGTGCTTTTCTAATACAACAATAAAGATATTTTCATAGCCTTGTTCCTCTTCAGTATAGAAGAAATTTGAAAATCACCCTCAACCTGAGTAGAGGAGTTTCACGTCCAGAAGCATTCATTCAAATGAAGTTAAGATTATAATCAATACTCTGATTGACAATAGATATCCAGAAATGCCCATGATGAAACACATTCACAATAAGGTGCAAATTAACCGTTCTCTCTTCTCGTGAAAAAGAAGCCTCTCAATTCACGATTTCAATGCATAAGTGACATACCAAGTAATGTAATAACCAGCAAGTTAAGGAAGTTACCATAAAAACATTTAATCTTGATGAGCTGTAGCTGATATTTTGCATATGACTGGTTGTGATTCCTCAAATAGAAGGTGAAGTACATAGACAAGCCATCCAATTTTCTTTATGCCGGTTTTACTGCTCCTGTTGAGCCTGTTGCAGTGGTTGTTGCTGTAGGAACCTAACATTTGTTTTCGCGAACACCTAGGTGTATGGCTGAATAAACGCGAAGTGAAAAGCAGTTAACAGTTCGTTAATAAACCACCTTTTGCTAACAGGTCTAGATTGAATGAATGGCTTTGACGAAAGACTCTGGATACGGAATAATCCAAAAAGCAGAGGCCACTAGAGTTCGCCCATAAAAATGCTTTCCTGTGTGAAAAACAGGCAATTCCAGTCAGTTTTTCTTTCCTGACCTGTAGTGAAATGTATAAATTAATAAATACTGTTCTAATTTGCACTTCACAGGCATGATCTTCAGACCTGTATGCAACAGTTTCCCTCACCACTTATTACTGAGCTTTTAAACACAACCCGCCTGTTGTCTTATTTCAACTAATAAATTCACTGACACACTGACTAGTATACAAACTTCCGCTCCGCTTTTCGCACTCTGCTTCTCATGTGATCATTCATCAACGCGAATTTAGGCAATGTCAATTATATAGCAAGATGCAGCTTGAGACTAAATGAAATGAAATCTAAACTTCTACGTTTTCAAATGTCTAATATCACACAAACGCAAAGCAGGAAGGAATGATAGAATTTCAAGTGATCATTGCGAAGATATAGGGGTTGGAGTTGTGTGGCTCTGCAACAAACTTCAGACATAAGTCAACAGCTAAGCTCCCTTCCGATTGCAGATTAGGTGTCCATGTAGGATAAGCCCCGATGAATTCAGGGAACGAACCAACATAGAACCTACCTGTGACATCAAATTGTTAAGGGATAATGGAATTTAATAAATTATATCCTCAAACTTTTTCACTGACGATAATGGGATTTTTGTAAACAACGGTCAGAACTTGATAAGGATCAAGATTAAAAATTCTAGTGTGTACTGGAGTTGTGGTTTCCTAGAGTGATGTGTCGGTGGCCAATTTCTATTAATATCTCCTTAAAATTCACTGTTATTTCTTTTCTAATTTGTTCTTCACTACTGTTTCATTTGTTTGCAGTCTTATACTACTGTTTTCTAGAAAGTAATATGGTTTTCATACGAACTGTGATCAAGATTTGATCGGATAGTTGCAAAATAATTGGGCGCTGAGTGAGAAGTAGACATTTATAATGTTATATTTGTAAAATCTCAGCGAAATTGAAATGATTAATTCCAACGTTTCGTTCGGCAATCTGGTCCGAACTTCTTCAGGGAAATTAATCGAAATTAACATAACAAAGTTATATATATATATATATATATGGTTTTATTATGCTTCCATTTCGCTACCCTGTAACCAATATTATTGATTTTCATGGTAATTTATCTCATTGAATACACTGACACACTTTGCAGTCTCTCGTAGGTATCTTCCTATTGTTAAGTGGCACCTTCTGTTTCACTCACCATTAAACATGACTGGTTTTAATCATATCATTCTTTAACTGTATATTAGCGAGCTATTCACTATAGACCCTGGGTTGATTTGGACATATCTCTGCAGTTCTTCTTACCTACGCCTTGAGACAGTGTTTCTGACACTCTATGCACACTTCGACGTTTGGTAATTCAACTGACCACTTTTATGTGCGAAATAGTATCATATTGTAAACAAATCCTGTTTTGGATTTAACAGGTAACTTATAAATTTGTTCTGATTATTCAGTTCCAACATCTCTAAGGATTTGTTAGACGAAATCTATACACTGATTCAATAACACGTTAGTCTGCCTTTTAATTCTTCTGCAAGCCACCTTGACTGGGGGTGATGTGAGGTTTTTAATAGACGTTAAAAACCGATATACCTAAGGTAGCTGAGCATATTTCACTATATAGTTAACAAAGATATTACGAATTCGATGCTGTCCGAAAAACTCATAAATCCATGAAAAGTAGTGAGCTAGTTCAAAGAAAAACATGAAATGAACGTACCTAAAGGATGAATCAGAGGTTATTGCACAATGCATTACAGGAGTAAACTAAGTTAGTGTTGGTCTGGTTCTATACTAACATGCTTACTATTCATCGATTTAGTGTACATAACCTGTTTTAAGAGAAGTGCATATTTTATTGGCAGGGACTTTTCCCTAAATGAGTAATTCAATGATAATAGTTTTGGAGAATATCCATAGATGAATTTATTCCGCATTACAGAAGATTCGTAGATATTATTCAGCCGTTGAAGGACGATGAACACGCAGCGAGCTGAGAACAATTTTGTTGAAGTTTCATAACATATTCACATGTTCACCATCTCATAACATTAGTCCAGAGATTTGATCAACGTCGTTCATTACCTTCAACTTTCTGTAGTTTTTAGAGAAAAATTGCAGAAATAAGATTAGCTTTTAATTCATTTCAAGCTTTTTGAGACCAGTGAACAAATTATTATAAACCCTGAGGCTTTTCCTCAATATTTTCGCTGTATGACTAATCTAATTTGTTTGCTCCCTAATAACTATGTCTGTTGCTGAAGCCTCTGTTTCCACTGTCCCTCCTACGGAAAAAGATGATACTCTCCTATTTTGGCTCATCAATAACTAATGGTTCAGTTTCATAATGTGTACAATGGAATCCCCTCTACTTGGCCTGGTAGTTTGGCGAACGTGGGAGTCACAAAATTGAAAGAAATCTCAGTAGTGCAATTCACGAACAGTCTTTTCTTCTACAAAAAACAAGGTGAGAATTCAACTTTAATTATAATGATAATCCTAACTTTTGCAACGAATGCAGGAAACCTATATGGTTCTAGAATAATTTTGACTTATGCGTAAACACGCTCAATACAATAACAATCATATCTCCTGCAACTAAGGAAACACTATCAGGAAACACTATCATCAGAATAAACCTTTGAAGGGAGTTTCATTGAAGTCAGTGCTAATGTAGGGTACTTTTGATAATACTTATGAAGTGTTTGGTAATAAATTGCATCAAATATCAACCATGGAACGAGCTTTGACCTCCAATGCTCGGAAATTAACTCTAAATGAGGCAAAACTGACTGAGAACCACTCAGATGTTACGGCGAGCCTCCAAATGATGTATATGAGAGATTAACTACCCACCTTCAGTAGATGTATACTTGTGATACTTGCATCGACACACATCACATCTTAATGACGGCCATGATTCAAACATGAACCTAATTAATGTGTGCAAATAAATCACTGTAGCATCAGATGACATTATAAAAACGTTGA